ATACACACACTAAGAGAGTAGAATTAGATAACTTTGAAGATGAAATCTCTAAATTAATATTTTCAGGGAAATAAAAGATCATTTACTCCAATATTCACTTGGAAAGGCTGGTACATGTAGCTAGAAAAATGAATATTTTTCCCAATCGAAATGCAAAAATTCCTAACCTGTGCTTGGAATTTTTCCCAAAATGTCTAGGAAAAGGCTTGAAACTGAAATTGTTTAGTTTGCATTTCTAATCTACATACTGAAATAGTCCAAGACTTGTTCATATATAGTACTGCCTAAAATAAAATAGTGTCAGTGCATGCACACAGTTTATTATAGTGTTAGTTAAGAACATACTTTAAATAACAAGACCTCAATATGTATGCAAAATTTACAAAACAGTTCATCCTTATGAACATTGTTTCATTTTGATTATTCAAGATTGAAACAAATGAAAATATTCAATAGCAAAGCACAGCTGTGAAGTGATTGTTTCTCCACCAAATGATTTAAATATGCATACAAATGTTTCCCTACCCTTTGATTGACCATTTTTTTCTGCTTAATGTGCCTCAATCACTAAGATCTGCTTAATTGACAGGCTGTTTTAAATTTTGAAGGGATAATCTTTGAAACATTCATATTGGTTATTAAAACTAACCATAATTTACATTTATTCGTAGCCAATAAATAATTATACCTTTAAATTGTATGCCGTCTAAACAAATAAATTGTATACTACAGTCCGACCCCGTTTATTCGACAACCCTTTATTCGAATACCCGGCATTATCCGAAGTAGATCGGCGGTCCCGTTTTTATCTCTATATAAAACAATATAAAAACAAGCGTATTATTCGAAATGCAGTATCCTAATACCTCCTATTTTTCGAAGTAAAATTTCGGTCCCGATTATTCAAATATGAAAGAATTTCACACCTATTATTCGAAGCCAGCCTAATTATTATTCGAAGCCAGACTAATTGGCGCAGATCCACTCGCTGACCAGTCGACTTGTAAAAAATATCCACAGTCATGCGTGTAATTAGACAATCTTGATAATGACTCTTTGTCTGTTTAATCTATTTTAATTACCGAAAATGAAAGGCTATGAACCGTGTCCGATTTTGTTGAAGATAACAGCAATAATTTTTATACATTCCGTATATGTGAATTTGTCTAAACAGCCAAAACATTGTTTTCATTAATTGTAACGCTACATGAGAGCCTTAATTTATCCTAATCGAAAATACCAGAGTTTAGCTGTAAATACCGTAGTGACGACACGGCCATTATCAAGGTTTTTGCGCGAAACGAAACGATACATAATGTAGAATAAAATGCAAGTATTTATGTCTTCAATGTCAATAAAATAATTTTTACGCATCTTTTCTTTAGTATTTATTTTTCTCAATTGATTACAGGAAGCAAGTGTGTTGTAAACGGTAGTTTTGCGATGATTGGTCAAAGTGGAGTAGTTTTCGTCTATCACAATATTCCGATTTCGATTATTCTAACCCATCGATTATTCGAAGTAAATATTCAGTCCGAGGCACTTGGAATAAACGGGGTTGGACTGTATCTGAACATATGTGACAGAAAAAATATCACATAAAAGGAATTTAGTATTACTATGAGTATTTATTAAAGAAATTGTATATCAAATATATTTAAATAGTGTTATTGAAAGTCTAGCAAATGAAGATTAACATCACTGTCTGTGGGAATCTCCAGTTACCAGATGAAGTGATCATAACTGTATAGGCACCATGAACACTTGGGTCTAGTTGGACTATTTTAGAGGGGTAGTCTGAGTTAGCACTTCAGTTGAATCCTGTCAATAGTAAAGTTGTGTTGATGGAAAATGTTTTGGCTTCAAACAAAACCATCACACTTACCCAGCAGTGATAGATTAAATCAATTGTGATATTTTGACTGTTTTCCCCAAAAGTTTCCATGATTTGAAGCTCCTGGGACTTATGTAACATATGACTGCACATTCCAAAATTTATTAGAATATTGTGTAATGTTTAGCAATATTGTATAAATATATTCAGAGCTAGCATACTTCATAAGTTATAACATGTGTCTTAGCTTGCCTGGTTTAATGAAAAGTAATAAACCTGAGAATTGAAACTAGAATAAATTGTTGTTGTGTAAGTCCCCTTCTGTTTATACCAAGAGGGGACTAAAGGCTGACCCCTTTCTGTATGTCAGTGAAATCTGAATTCTGATATTACTCAAAAGGTACAAAAGCAAGGTTCATCATACTGGTATCTGATATAGAACCATAAAGAGATTTAGCATGTTATTATAATTTATGCTCCTGAAAGGGAGAGAATACAGTTGCGGTCTTAACCATCTGTCTGTATGGACTCAAGTAATATTATAGATAAATATCCGTGTTCATTCCATACAGACTTGTACTTGTGGGGAAAAAGGTTGCTCAATGGAGGAAAATATCTTTCTTATGGTGTTTTTGAGGTTTAAGATGATGAAGAAAAAACCCACATTGTGAACTTAGAAAGACATCCGTCCTTCACACTCTTGTCTGGAATATGAATATAACTAGATACCTATTGAAGGGATTTTATGTAAACTTCACAAGGTGATAGAGTCTTTTGAGAGGAAGTGCAGTGTTCAAGAAACATAACTCTACCTTGTTTCATGTTTTAATTATCTCCCTTAAGTTAAAATTCCAAACTATCACTGAAACTACACCCAGTTGTACAGACTCAAATTTTCCAAAGTGTCAAAGAACCATAACTGCATTCCTTAGTTTTTAGCTCACCTGTCACAAAGTGAAATGGTGAGCTTTTGTGATCACTTTTCGTCCATCCGTGTGTCGTCTGTCCCTCCGTAAACTTTTACTTTAAACGCCATCTCCTCATAAACGGCTAAGCTAATTTCATCTAAACTTCACAGGAATGTCCCTTTGGTAGTGAACCCATTCAGAACTCTGGTTTTAGGCAACCAAGAAAACATTAAAAAATCTTCTTTAAAAAACGGAAAGAGCTAGAGCTTAAATATTTGACATAAAACATCATCTAGTCAGAGTCTACCAAGATTGTTCAAATAAATGCCTTTGGGTCAAAATTGGCTCCGCCCCGGGGGGTCATTGATTCTCCTTATTTGTATATAGTAAAACTTAAAAAATCTTCTTTTAAAAAATTCAAATAGCTATAGCTTAGATTTTTGGCATGAAACATCTTCGGGTGGGTGTCTTCCAAGTTTGTTCAAATAAAAGCCTTAGGGTCAAAATTGGCCCCGCCCTAGGGGGTCATTTTTTTCCCCCATATGTATATAGTGAAAACTTAAAAAATATTTTTTTAAAAAACCCAAAGAGCTAGAGCTTAGATATTAAACATGAAACATCTTCTGGTGGGGGTCTACCAAGTTTGTTTTGAAAAAGCCCTACGGTGAAAGTTGGCCCCGCCCCAGGGGGTCATTGTTTCCCCTTAATGTATATAATGAAAACTTAAAAAATCCTCTTTAAAAAAAACCCAAATAGCTAGAGCTTAGATATTAAGCATGAAACATCTTCTAGTTGGTGTCTACCAAGTTTGTTAAAATAAAAGCCCTAGGGTCAAAATTGGCTCCGCCCTGTGGGGGGGGTCATTGTTTTTCCCTTTATGTACATAGTAAACACTTAAAAAACCTTCTTTTAAAAACCCAAAGAGCTGGAGCTAAGATATTTAGCATGAAACATCTTCTAATGGTTGTCTACCTAGTTTTGTTCAAATAAGGGCCCTTGGGTAAAAATTGGGCCCAACCCGGGAGGTCATTGATTTTCCTTATTTGTATAATTATAGTAAAAACTTAAAAAATCTTCTTTTAAAAAAACAAAATAGCTAGAGCTTAGATATAAAGCATAAAACATCTTCTAGTGGGTGTCTACCAAGTTTGTTCAAATAAAAGCCCTGGGATAAAAATTGGCCCCGCTTCAGGAGGTCATTGTTTTTCCCTTTATGTATATAGTAAAGACTTGAAAAATCTTCTTTTAAAAACCCCAAAGAGCTAGAGCTAAGATATTCAGCATGAAACATCTTCTAGTGGGTGTCTACCAAGTTTTGTTCAAATAAGGGCCCTTTGATTAAAATTGGGCCCAACCCGGGAGGTCATTGATTTTCCTTATTTGTATAATTATAGTAAAAACTTAAAAAATCTTCTTTTAAAAACCACAAATAGCTAGAGCTTAGATATAAAGCATGAAACATCTTCTAGTGGGTGTCTACCAAGTTTGTTCAAATAAAAGCCCTGGGGTAAAAATTGGCCCCGCCCCAGGGGGTCATTGTTTTTCCCTTTATGTATATAGTAAAAACTTAAAAAATCTTCTTTTAAAAACCCCAAAGAGCTAGAGCTAAGATATTTAGCATGAAACATCTTCTAATGGGTGTCTACCAAGTTTGTTCAAATAAGGGCCCTTGGGTTAAAATTGGCCCCGCCCCAGGGGTCATTGATTTTCCTTATATGTGTATAGTAAAAACTTAAAAAATCTTCTTATAAAAAACCCAAAGAGCTAGAGTTAAGATACTAAGCATGAAATATCTTCTAGTGAGTGTCTTACAAGTTAATTCAAATAAAAGCCCTGGGGTCAAAATTGGCCCTGCCTCAGGGGGTCATTGTTTTTCCCTTTATGTATATAGTAAAAACTTAAAAAATCTTCTTATAAAAACCCCAAAGAGCTATAGCTTAGATATTTATCATGAAACATCTTCTAATGGGTGTCTACTAAGTTTGTTCAAATAAAAGCCCCTGGTTTAAAATTGGCCTTGGCACAGGGGCCTATGTACAGGTGAGCGATTTCAGGGCCATCATGGCCCTCTTGTTTGTGTTACTGCGAGCTTTGGAATCTCTCTAATATGCTTTGAAATATGGAATTTAATCAACATGCATCACATTGTTGGAAAATTATAAAGTGCTTATTAGATATATTTTAATTTTGCAAACAGCAATTTGATTTTCATGTATATTTTTAAATGAACTGTTTCATGATTGATGATTTTATTTCAGATCTCCTTATCTCCATCAAAAGAATATAGATTAGGGCACGAGTTTGAGCGGACAGGGGACATACTTGGAAAAGGGAACTCTGCAGGGGATATTGTGGTGGTTACAGATAAAAAGACAGGCCAGGAACATGCATATAAAACGGTAATGGTTTCATATCATTTTAAGAAGTATTTGTTTGATGTATCTAATTTATAGATTTACTTGTAATACTGCCTGGTTTGTTTAAGTTCAGTAATGGAAAATGATATCTCAAAAACATTTTATTGATGCTTTTCATATGACTAGTATTACCTTCCCAATTTGCCTTTCAAGGGTCATTTCCAATTGATAATAGATGTATGCTTAAGATAGATAAACGTCTTTTACTTTCATTCAAGAGGAGAAAAAACCTTTTTATAGGAACTGCACTGAGGTCCAAAAGCGTTAAAACATAAAATTTGAATTTATTAGACAGATTTGCTTGGGCACTTAAAACTGATAGGTGGGCCAAATATATTACAACAGGAAATATACTCAGAAATAAATCGAAAAATATATTAATACAGGAATATACTCAGAAATAAATCGAAAAATATATTAAAACAGGAAATATACTCAGAAATAAATTGAAAAATATATTAAAACAGGAAATATACTCAGAAATAAATTGAAAAAATATATTAAAACAGGAAAATTTAATATACTCAGAAATAAATCGAAAAATATATTAATACAGGAATATACTCAGAAATAAATTGAAACATATATATTAAAACAGGAATATGGTAGCACTCCACAGTTAATTTCAAGTTCCTGCCGTCAATGTCCTACAAGCAATACGTCTAATAATTCTGATACCAAACTACACAACCTGGAAAAAGAAAACACATTTTGTTGAGAACATATATGACATAAGATTGCAAATCTACAAAGAAATTATCCCATCTGCAATAGGCAGGCAGTAAAAAATTTGCAATTCATTCCGTTGAAGCCCAAAATCTACAGTGGCCCGAGACCCAAAACAACACATTTCGACCCTCTGGCAAAAAATATCTGCAAATATACAGGCTAAAGGAACACCGTCTCTGCTTTAGCAACTCCCTATACATGCAAAATATCACACAGAAACTAGTCCTCAACCTTGTAGATTTTTTGCTACTGCTAAAAGTTTGTACCCCCCTGTAAAATGACTTCTTTTTACCGTGCATGCTGTATAAAAGCAATGTTTACAAAAAATGGCGGCCTTGACATTCATAATCAACAGCATGTGATTTCTGGCCATGTTTTCGAATTTGCCAGTGATCATATTAGATGTCACAAAAACAAATTTTATGCTGAAAATGCATTTTAAAGACAACCAGTCATTTAAATCCACAATATTCACTATATCCAAGAAATCCTCCCTGGCAATTCGAAGCTGTGGCTTACATTACTGTGGTGTGCTACCTATACTCAGAAATAAATTGAAAAAATATATTAAAACAGGAAAATTTAATATACTCAGAAATAAATCGAAAAATATATTAATACAGGAATATACTCAGAAATAAATCGAAAAATATATTAAAACAGGAAATATACTCAGAAATAAATTGAAAAATATATTACAACAGGAAATATACTCAGAAATAAATCGAAAAATATATTAAAACAGGAACATTTAATATACTCAGAAATAAATCGAAAAAATATATTAAAACAGGAATATACTCAGAAATAAATCAAAAAAAATATATTAAAACAGGAAATATACTCAGAAATAAAATGAAAAATATATTAAAACAAATAAAAAAATATGAAAATCATAATTTTGTAATAATTTGTAGCCCAATTTGAGAGAAAGACAACTCTTCAATTTTGGGTCATTTTTCAGTATCAAAATATTTATTTTGGAAAACTGATGAGAGGGAATATCTGAAATTTTGGACACAAAATTTGAGACAAACATCAAATGGAACAATAACCTTGAAAAATTATTTCGAATCCTGTAGTATCAAAAACGTCGGTGGAATCCCCTAGTGCTTCAATAATATTGTTTTCTAATTTAAGAAAAGACAATTTGTTATATCATAATGTTCTTTGCTATTTAGCTCACATGAGCTTGCTCAGGGTGAGCTTTAAGGATCGTTGAATGTCCGTCGTCTGCCTTCCGTCGTCCGTCCACACTTGTTCGTTAACACTCTAACGGTCACATTTTTATGCTCCCCAAACAATTTCGGGGGAGCATATAGTCGCGGCCTTGTCCGTCCCCTTTTCTTGTCCGGGACATAACTTTGAAACAACAAGAGGTATCAACATGAAACTTTGTAGGTAGATAGATCTCATTGAGTAGGTGTGCAGTGCACAAGAACTGTAACTCTGCTTTGCCTAATTTTTTAATTATTCCCCTTTGTTTATTTTTACACTTTGAACTTTGTCTGGGACATAACTCTAAAAGTATAAGAGGTATCAACATGAAACTTTGTAGGTAGATAGATCTCATTGAGTAGGTGTGCATTGCACAAGAACCGTAACTCTGCCTTGCCTAATTTTTGAATTATCCCCCCTTTTTTATCCCCCGCCGATGGAATCGGGAGGGGGATATAGTTTTGGCGTTGACCGTCCGTCCTTCCGTCTGTCCGTCCGTCCATCTGTCCGTCCGAATTTCGTTTCCGGAGTATTTCTCTGCAACTAATGGCTGGAATTCAACGAAACTTTATGGGAATGTTGATCAGCATGTGAAGTTGTGCACCTGGGTATTTTCGTCTGGATATTATTAGTATTTTTAGAGTTATTGCCCTTGACTCAGTAAAATTTTGTCTGAATTTCGTTTCCGGAGTAATTCTCTGCAACTAATGGCTGGAATTCAACGAAACTTTATGGGAATGTTGATCAGCATGTGAAGTTGTGCACCTGTTTAAAATATACCGAAAGACCTTGACCTTCACTCATTAATGACATTGTCTTTGAAGGTCAAATTATTGAAATTTTCATTGTTTTGGCGGTAACTAACTGTAACTTTGCTATTATTGAAGGGATAAACTTCATATTATAACAGAACATTCTTAAGGACCAGACCTTGTTGTTTATCAAACCCAAATTTGGTTGGGCTCTTTAATGACCTTGACCTTGAAGGTTATATTACTAAATTTTCTCAGATTTGTGCATTTATTGGTGTGTGTGTATATATAATATATATATATATCATGTATAGTATATGTATTATATATATAAATGTGTTTGTGTGTATATATATATATTATATATATATATATATATATATATATATATAATATATATATATGTATATATAGATGTGTATATATATATATATATGTATATATATATATAATATATATACATGCATATATATGTATTAAAATATGTATCAAATTTACCTCTCGGATCCGAACAGATTTTGCCAAATGTCACACCTTCATTCAAAATAACAAAATAATCGCACATCTTGCAGGTGTAAACATACACCAAACTGATAAGTGTTATTTCGCTTGATTAATGGGTGAAACGTATGATCTGCGAAGGTGTGAAAATTACACTTAGCTCCTTGATATCTTCTATAATTGCTTAATTGGTTGTTTTTCGTCAGCTTCTATAAATATTTTGATATAATACAATAGAAATATCTTTTAGTCCTTTGTATTGGATTCAATGATACATGATTAAGTAATGAAAATTAATGGAAACTGTCAGTGACTTTGGATAGTCGCTGACTCGGATAAGAGTAAACAACAATTGACAAATGCTGGTACGAATATCTAATCATGTCTCGGCCTTCTGTTTAACATCGTCGGTTAACTTACCCTTGAGGACATAATATTTTTGCTTATTAATTTATTTATTTTTATTTCTTTATTTTTGTATTAATTCACATGTATTAAAATGAAGGATAAGAACCTGCAAAAATAAAATATCTAAATTGCAATTTCAAATACATTCCCGTTTTCTTTCCTTCAACTATTTTGCAAATAACATGAAAAAACATGTAAAAAAACCTTCTTATTCGGAAACCTTTCTAATCCGAACTTTTCGTCTGGTCTGGACGAGATCGGATTAGACAGGTTCCACTGTAGTAAAAACTCATCTTCTCTAAATTGACAAAGGCTAGAGGTTAGATATTTTGCATGAAAAATTGTGTAGTGAACCTCTAGCAAGATTGTAAAATTGTAGCCCTGGGGTCAAAATTGGCCCCACCCCCGGGGGTCATTGATTTTGACTATGAACATATAGTAAAAAAATTAAAAATCTTCTTGTCTGAAGGTACAAGGCTTTGAGCTTTGATATTTGGTATATGATATCATCTATAGGTACTCTACCAAAGTTGTTCAAATTTTGCCTCTAGTGTCAAAACTAGCCCCGCCCCGGGGGTCATAGGTTTTCCTTACGTGTATATAGTTAAAACTTTAAAATATCATCTTCTCTAATTGACAAAGGCTAGAGGTTAGACATTTTGCAATAAACATTGTGTAGTGAACCTCCAGCAAGATTATTCAAATTAAAGCCCTGGGGTCAAAATTGGCCCCGCCCCTGGGGATCATTGATTTTCAGTCACTATGTCATAAAGTAAAAAAAAAAATTATTGTCTGAAGGTACTAATCTGATAATAACAGATAGGTAAGTGATCTATGCATTATGGCAATCTGTATAGAAACAAAAAAAAATTGTGTTCCTACATTTATTATGTCTCCCCCACCTCGGGGGGAGACATATTGTTTTTGCCCTGTCCGTCCGTCAGTCCGTCCGTCCGTCAGTCCGTCAGTCCGTCCATTCTTCGTTTCCGGACGATAACTAGAGTTCCTTTTGACCTACAGCCCTCAAACTTCATAGGATGATTGGTCTTATAGAGCTGATGATCCCTATTGTTTTTGGGGTCAGTAGGTCAAAGGTCAAGGTCACACTGACCGTTGGTCAATTTCTCGTTTCCGGATGATAACTAGAGTTCCTTTAGACCTACAGACCTCAAACTTCATAGGATGATTGGTCTTATTGAGCAGATGATCCCTATTGTTTTTGGGGTCAGTAGTTCAAAGGTCAAGGTCACAGTGACCGTTGGTCAATTTCTCGTTTCCGGATGATAACTAGAGTTCCTTTTGACCTACAGCCCTCAAACTTCATAGGATGATTGGTCTTATAGAGCAGATGATCCCTATTGTTTTTGGGGTCAGTAGGTCAAAGGTCAAGGTCACAGTGACCGTTGGTCAATTTCTCATTTCCGGATGATAACTAGAGTTCCTTTTGACCTACAACCCTCAAACTTCATAGGATGATTGGTCTTATTAATCAAATGATCCCTATTGTTTTAATGGTCAGTAGGTCAAAGGTCAAGGTCACAGCGACCGTTGGTTAATTTCTCCTTTCCGGATGATAACTAGAGTTCCTTTAGACCTACAACCCTCAAACTTCATAGGATGATTGGTCTTATTGAGCAGATGATCCCTCTTGTTTATGGGGTCAGTAGGTCAAAGGTTAAGGTCACAGTGACCATTGGTCATTTTCTCATTTCCGGATTTCTCCAGTTCCATTCCTGTTTCCATTCACAGTTATTCTCAGCAGTGGGGGAGACATGCGCTTTTTTACAAAAGCATCCTCTAGTTTATTGTTGTATTTATGCGATGGCATGGCATTTTTTTACAAATGCAATGTTGTTGTTATGTTGTGTTAGAATCGAAATAATATATCCATTCCAAATAAAAATCACTGTCTTTTATTTAGCGATAAAATCACTGTTTGGGATCTATTAGTTCTTAAATAATCTATTGATATTCATATTTAAATAAAACAGCATTCTGTAATAACCTCAAAAATGTTTGAAAACAAAATTCAATTTAACTTTCAGATGATGATCTCATACTTTCGTAAAGAGGAGGTGAAATGTTGGGAAGATATGTCAGATTCGGGTTGTGTCCCTGGCCTGTACCTCTTCAAAATAGAAAACAACAAGTTGCATATGCATATGGAGATTTTAAGAAATGGTAATCAAATAGATATACAGTAAACTTCCCTTGCAACAAACACGGTTATAGAGCACTTCCGGTTATAAGGAACACTTTTATAGATATCTTGGCCCAAATTTTGTCCTTCTTTATTTTATATAAAAATATACGGTTATAGCGGACACGGTTATAAGGAATTATCGCTTATAAGGAACTCATTTCTTAGTCCAATTTTAGTTAAAAGTACAGAAAATTACACTTTTATAGTGAACTCCAAAATATCGGCTATTTGTAAATAAATGTCACGGATTAAAACTTGCCCGAATGTACCATTTATTGTTGACTGTACTTCAAAACAGTTGTGAAAATGAATTTGTATAGCAGTACGTAATAGTTTTCTATTTAGAATAGTATTAGTTCTAAAGATAAAATTATAAATATCTTTTAAAAATAGATTTTTACATTTTTACAGGTGTATTAACCATATTCTATAGACAGATGCCTTTAACATAAAATTTGATGGAGTTAGTGGTCAGTTGGGTCAAGGTCACCAGTGCTAAAAATAGATGTTTAACACTTTTGCTCATACAGCCTTTATTTATTGACAGATATATTTCATATATGGTAGGAAGATAACTTGCATGGTATTCATCCTTTTGATTGGGGTAGGGATCAGTGGGTCAAGGTCACTTGTACTAAAAATAGATTTTTACACTTTTGCCCATACAGGCTTTATTTATTGACAGGTGTATTTCATATTTGATAGGAAGATAACTTGCATGGTATTCTTCCTTTTGATTGAGTTAGGGATCAGTGTGTCAAGGTCACTAGTGCTAAAAATAGATTTTTGCACTTTTGCCCATACAGCCTTTATTTATTGACAGATATATTTCATATTTGGTAGGAAGATAACTTGCATGTAATTCTTACTTTGGATGGAGTTAGGGGTCAGTTGGGTGAAGGTCACAAGTGCTAAAAATAGATTTTTACACTTTTGCCCATACAGCCTTTATTTATTGACAGATATATTTCATATTTGGTTGGAAGATAACTTGCATGGTATTCTTCCTTTGGATGGAGTTAGGGGTCAGTTTGATCAAGGTCATCAATGCTCAAAATAGATTTTAACATTTTTGCCCATACAGCCTTTATTTATTGACATGTGTATTTCATATTTGGTAGGAAGATAACTTGCATGATATTCTTTAGGTGTGAGTGGGTCAAGGTCAAGGGTGCCAAGTATAGATTTCTTACATTTATATATATTTGATAAAGTTGAATATTTATCACTTCACAAGTCATAGCAATGACTTGGCAACTTATATATTTCACAATTACAAAATGCCATGACTCTGTCAAGCTATATAACTTGTGTTTACAATTTTTTGGCAATGTTTCTGTCCATAACTGAGTGAATGGGTAAACATTTTTTGAAATTTTGCTACGGACAAGAATCGGAGCCGGGGGCATTTGTGTTTAACAAACACGTTCTTGTTTACTTAATCAAATGCTCTTCAAAATGGCTGACGATGGTAAACAATCATTTTGTTATATGTAAATCTGTTCGCTATAAAATCTCTTTATACAAGGAACTAATTAGCTATATGCTTATCAGGAACTCCGGATATATGGAACAGATTTTGAATGTCCCAATGAGTTTGTTATAAGCGGAGTTTACTGTACTTAGCTTTGATTTATTTTTGCTAAGATGTCTCATTTTAATATCAGATTGTTCTTTGGGAAAACTTTTGACTACCTAGCCTTCATAAAGTCTCCTTTAGGTACCAGCAGTCAATTTTAGCTTGTCTATTTTGAGGGAAAAGTTGAGCTGTTATAATTGCTATGGGGTCATCGTTGTACACCTTGTGCCAACACTAATGCAGCCCATTATTCAAACATTTTAAAAAATATTAACTTGAAACTTGGAATACCTGTTATCATAACAAATTTTGGTGCAGTTGTAAGACAAGGGGCATATTTCTGAAATTAATATTTTTAGAGTTACACCCCTTTTTACTTAGACAAGACTTAGTGTTAACGCAGCATGTGTTAAGCTCTTGCCTATTAGACAACACTCACAATTTTTTTTCAAAATAATGCTTTGACAGAATCTAATGTTGAAATTTTTGTTTTGTTTTAAGCTAAAACTTTACGCAGTATTTTGGACGAGCACATGGCAGGATTTTTCAACAGTGCGGAGAATAGATCTCTTTTAAAGCTGTTCTCATTATACGTCTTAGACGGGGCTCTCGAAGCTGTCACACAGATGCTTAACAAGGGATGGGTTCATCGTGACTTACATGGTAAATTTTCGTAATGAAAATGACAAATTTGTCGGTGTACAATTATTATTAGCTCATCATATTTATTGTTCTCTGTAACTTCAGAATTCAAGACCATCTAGAATCCGGAAACTTCTGTAATCCAAACAGTTTTCAGAGTCCCATAAATTCTTCTTCAACCTATCACAATCTCAAAATTAACTAGATCAATGAGTGAAAAAGTTCCATAGATAGGAAGTGTTGTAAATACACTCAAGGTCACAGTCTTTGCTGTTTAGGAATTGTTTCCCTTCATAGAGCTTTATATATTCAAATTGCATGTATAATATTTCTTTTTCATTGAATTAATGGAGTAAATATGTTTGTTTTAGGTTTTAATTTTATGGTACAGCTAACAGTGGTAGAGACACTTGGAGTTAAAGTTTTGGATTTCGGCTTGGCTCAGAAATTGGAAGGCTACAAAGGTTTAAATCACCGAGGATTTCATGCCGATATTGGGGAGATTGTCCGTCTGTTCAGTGCTTTATACACTGGAGGGCTAGAATTTGATAATGTGCTTGATCTCCGGAAAAATTGGAAAAACAAATTGACAGAGGTAATCTTAATTGGCAGTTAATATTCTGATTTTTTATGAGAATATTTACCATTGGGTAGTTACCTAACAAGTATTCCTAGATTCTGTACAACAATTTAAAGTAAATTTCTACATGTGAATTTTCAACTTATAAAGTTGTTTCATTAGTTGGATATGTATGAAATATTTTATCGGTGCCTCATATTTCCATGGTACTTAACTGTTCAACATAGACAACAAAAGTTCGAAGAATAAAATTCAGGAAAAGACGTTGAATATTGTAGCATGTCAATAAGACATGTCAATTACATCATAGTTTATTCCATTTAATGTTTGCATGTAAGCAATTTATGTACACAACATTAACACCTATCTACTGCCAGTGAGTAAAGTTGTGTTCTCATATTTCCAAGGCAATTACATTTTAACAGTTTCAAAAGCAAAACCAATAGTAATCTTTATTTTTAGTACATCTATACCTAGCCTTGTCTGAAAGTGGGGATTTTCTCTATGGCATTTATCAAATATCTCAATGGTTGTTTAACAAAGACAATTGTCTTAAAAGGTATGAAAACTAAAAGTAAAATGGTGAAATAATTTACTTTGCTCTTTATCTGAATAAAATAATAAGTTTTCTCAGTCTTATATGTAGCTATTCAATAAAAAAATACAATAAAATAGTAAAAGTAAAACTACTGACAGGTGTATGAGGTCTAGGAGGCACTTGAGACTGTTTATGCCTAATAATTTAGAATAATGGGTACCATGGAAATATGAGGCATAAGTTTACATAATGACAGCAAAATCTAATCCTTGGATACCAAATTTCGAGCCTGTAAATATCATTCTCCTCTTACAGAGTTTTAGTCCAGTCAATTTGTGAAAAAATACCTCAGAAAATGGGAAAAGCACCAACTTTGGTACAAATGAGCTTTGATATATATAAGAAAAAATGAGCATGGGACCCATTTTTTAAAATCCAATATGGCGGGAAAAATCCAAAATGGCCGCCATATGTGTTAAAAATTTCAAAAACGCTTGTTTTTACTAAGAGAACCTAATAGATAGCTGCATATTAGGGTATTGTAATCAGAAAAATAGTTTGTCTTTTTAAAGCTATTACACTTAACATATTTTATTATTTCTGTTTGTCATTAGTTTTCACGACCCTGGAAATCAGATGAAATAAAATATTGTAAAGGTCTGTCATCGCTGTCTTGTAAAGATATTAAGACATCATTGTAACAACATTCCTTTTTGTTTACAATGTTTATTTATCACAAAGAAATAATTATCAAACAGATTAAACAAAAGTATTTTTAAATTCTAGCACGGAAATTAAATATCTGCCCGTCAAGTCAGGTGTACGCCTTGCAATTTTATCTTGTTGATCGCTGTGAAAGGGATTAAGCAAAGAATATGTTTTTAACAGAATGATAAGCTAACATGTGTTAAATTTAAACAGTCATTTGGTATTTGAATTGTCATATCATAAAAATATGAAACTTTATAAAGTATGTTTTAGAATATGTGAAAAAAACAAAAAAAAACGAAAACCTGGCAGACATATATAATGTACATTTTGTCAAAGCAGAGATGTAGATGTTATCTATGTCTCTGGTCAACGTATGCGTTACAGAAAATAAATTCATTCTAAACTATCCCTTTTCTTCATACGAAAGTACATGACTGTCAATTTGTTGTATAAAAATGGAATGATAATTTTGTAGAAATTTGCAGTTTACAGACTCAGATTTTGACACACCTTTGATGAAATAACACCTCTTAAACACTGCACATTGGTTTTCGATTGATTAACTGCTAACTTGACACCAACTTTCAAGACTCATCTGGTTAGAAGTTACACTAACTCATTCAACCTTTCCTTACCTTCGGCATGTATCAAAAATTGATAATAATACCCCTCTTCATTCTTTAATGACACCACCGCCCTTAATTATTTGTTAAATTCCATTTTGGTGTCCCTAAGGGTGCCCTGTGCCACAAAATATCATGTTTAGTTGCTGGGTTTCATGACTTTTGGCCTCTGTTTGCAATCATGTTTTCTCATATTTTTAAATAAAATTCCAAAAGGCATGTTCTTACAAGTTTTTATTTTAGACATTACAAAGTCAACAGCCCTTTATATGAAGACTTGGCATTTCCGCGCTATAATCAGATCAAGGAAAACAATGGACAAACGTGCTAGATAATTTGCCATATCTTGGCACTGTTTTTCTTCTGAGGGCCTCAAATGTTTGTAAGATTCAAGATACGTCACCAAGTCTAAGGTTTAGAACGAATGGGACATTGAAAATAATATAAGTACGCCTTGCTGCCCATAAAACATCAGATACCTAGGGTATTTCTCTCTTAATTCTGACCGCTCTTGATCATGCTAATGAGAACAGATTTTGTGATGAATGTATTGAGAGTCTCAGTCAGTATTTTGTGCTGGGTTTTGTTGTTATAACTCGGCAGTTTCCAGACTTGACAACAAATTCCAAATTTCGTTGACATGCTTAAACTAGACAAGTGTTAGAGTAAAAGATCAAGATCAAGAACGTAAATTCCAAAATAGGCTATAATAGAAGGTTTTGTTTCTTTGTGACAGATTTGATCTGACATGACTGTGCAGTCTTTTTATGATATGTGACGTTATTACGAACAATTCAATAGAATGAGAATGATGGTTGAGATTTAGTACAGTTTCGAAGCTCAAATAGGATAAACATATGGTTATCTTGTTTGCAGTTCGAAATGTCAAAAATAAAGACCAAATATCCTAACTAAGGCTCTTTGTTACCAATCCCAGTTTTGTAATTTTGTTCTAGAACAAAAAAATGACATTGACCTTGCTCCCAGATATCTAAATAGCAATCCAAAGCTGCATCTTAATATAAGCTACCCAGACAGCTTTTAGAGTCAATGGGTGAAAGCAAACTCAAATTATTACGTGAAAACTGGGTTTCTTTTTTAAGCGACAGTGATCTTGACCTTGTGCACACACACCTTGGTAGCAATACAAAGTTGCATCTTGATATAAGCCACCCACATACTAAATTTGATGTCAATAGGCCGAAGCAAACTTAAGTGATTGAGCGGAAACTGAATTTTCTATTTTTGTGCAACAGTGACTTTGACCTTAATCACAGATTGCAAGGTAGCAACCCCAAGATGCCTCTTGATAAAGCTACCCATACACCGGAGTTTGTTGTCAATAGGCCAAAGCAAACTGAACTATTGAGCAAAAACTGAATTTCTATTTTTAGCAGCAGTGACCTTGATCACAAACACCTGGGGAGCAATCCCAAGCTGCCTCTTGATATAAGCTACCCGCACACACAAAGTTTGGTGTCTATAGGCAAAAGCAAACTCAAGTTGAGCGGAAACCAAGACGTCTGCTCACCAGCCCGCCTGCCGACTTCGGCATAACAATTACTGGTTTTCATTGAAACCTGATCAACAAATTTTTATGACTTAACATTTTCAGGACTGCATTCCATGAATGTTGGTCTCTGTTGTATTCATATTTTGAGATTTCTGTGATTGATTAAGCATGTTAAGTCACGGTTGTTATTGTTTTCAAATCTCTGTATAAGGCTCTCAATCCTTTCAGAACTATGTTTAACATAAACTTCAGATAAAAGTCTTACCTCAGATAGACTTCCGTCAACTAGAGAGATACTTGAATGAAATATGACACTCAGCATCACCCATAGAATTTCAATATGCATAGAGCTTGCAAAGCGCAAAACTACACACTCTTTAAATATCCTCGTAACTAAGATTTAATATTGAACGTAAATGATGAAATAAAAAAAAAACTTTAAAGGAATACGCAGGCAAATTAATGACAATACCAAAATTATCTGATGTACTTAAATCACGCTTAATTGAAATTTGTAAAAGTCCAAGCATGAATTTTGGTATCAATTCTATTTATTTTGAGTTTGAAACGTAAATATAAACGAAATTTAGCTGCCGACAGAATCACCGATGACTGTCAAGTGTATGTTTTGAGGACATTTACAGATTAAAGAATAAAAATTCAAAACGAAGAAATGAAAATGTTGCCTGTGTCTCCCTTTAAAAACATGAAGATTAATATTTGAGTTATATCTTTAAGGTTGCAATCAATCTCAAATTGAATTATGAATAATCAAATATGAAAGTGGTGTTACATTTAATAGATCTGAGAGCTCAATGCCTACAGGACCGAGTGTGTATTCTATGCCTAATGAGGGTCAATTCACCCTTGCAGGCACTATATAGCACCTTGGATACATATGCCTTGTTCTTTCATTTTCATTGTATCATAAGATTTGTTTAACATGGAATTTAGGTAATATTTGGTGCTAGCAAAATATTGTTGATTAAGCTGAATGAAATATAAATGTACTTCCAGCTTTCCTTGCATTTACAGGAATGGAATATGTTAAGACGTCCTTTTCTGTTTGTAAATTATGTAAATTCAGACATTACAATTTGAATACTTCTTATATGGTAAATTGCTCACAATCTACACATAAAGCATTTTAAGGCATTATATCTCATAGTTATTTGACATGATCATCTACTTAGGATTACAATAATTAAATTGAATATGAGAAAATAATCAAAAAATATTTTAAAGTACTGAAATAGACTGTTTTGTCATTTCAGTAACTTGTTACCATAGAAACAGAAACAATTAATAGCATTATAATTGTTAACTAGTATCTTTGATTATTAGTAATGCAAATCTCTCGTGTTAAGTGTAAACTGGGGTAATTTCCAGTATAATTGTAACTATAAATAGTCTCTACTGAAAAAGAAAGGAATGGCGGCCATTTTAAAAAATGGCTGCCATGGCAACCATTTCGGCATATATAAAATGGGTCCCATGCCCAAAATGTTTCTTTTGCCTTTATTTACATTTGTGCCAAGTTTCATGCTTTTCCCATTTTCTGAAGTATTTTAGCATATTTTGTTACAAATTGAGTGGACTATTTACAAACGATGCATGGTAGTAGATGAGAATTGTTTACTTTTGATTCTGAGGAATTGTGTCAGGCCAGTTTGTTTACAAAATGGTATATATTTTTACAACCCTCTCTTCTTGCAAGAGGGAATATAGATTTGCCTTGTCCGAATGTCCATTTGTAGACTGACAAAACTGTAGTGAGGTGCATCTATGTCCTGTGGACTCGTTTCTATTTGATTTTAGTTAAGGTAATGAATCTCTAACTGTGGTTATAATATGGGAGCTTTCTTAACCATGCAGAAGATTGACAAACTCTTGGTTAAGGCAGCGTCGGAGGCAATGGGTACTGATTTTGCTGTATTACATTCACCAGGAAAGTGAAAATGTAACGAGTACGCACGCATGGCTTTCCGAAGATTGGTCAAAAGTTCTTGTGCTACTTCTATCCTCGCAACCTCTGACAGTACCCACAGTTGTCTGAAAGGATCATAATCCTTAGTAACTAAAACAAGGTTAACAACTCTTGTAAAAGTTTTGCTGTAATTTCTCCACTTTGTGAACTTATTTTATTATCAAGCATTTAGAGTGTGCTGTCCATCTGAAAGTACTAATGTAGCTATTATTTTGGGCTTTGTTTTTATATGCGCGAAAGGGCATATTATGTTATACCCCCTGGCGTCAGTCTGTCTGTCCATCCGTCTGTCTGTTAGCAATTTGGTTTCCGGAGCATAACTTGAGTTCTAATTGGCACACAATATTCAAACTTCATAGGATGATTGTCCATATTGGGTAGAAGACCCCTATTGATTATAGGGTCAAAGGTCAAGGTCACTATTACCTTAAAACTGAAAACAATTTCCGGAGCATAACTTTAAGTTCCATTTGGCCCACAATATTCAAACTTCATAACTTCATAGGATGATTGTCCATATTGGGTAGAAGACCCCTATTGATTTTGGGGTGACTAGGTCAAAGTCACAATTACCTTAAAACCAAAAACAGTTTCTGGAACATAACTTAAGTTTCATTTGGCCCAAAATATTCAAACTTCATAGGCTGATTATCCATATTGGGTAGAAGACCCCTATTGATTTTGGGGTCAAAAGGTCAAAGTCACTTTTACCTTTATACTGAAAACAGTTTCTAGAGCATAACTTAAGTTCCATTTGGCCAACAATATTCAAACTTCATAGGATGATAGTGAATATTGGGTAGAAGACTACTGTAAAGTGTTGATTTTGGGGTCACAAGGTCAAAGGTCAAGGTCACTATAACCTTAAAACTGAAAACAGTTTCCGCTCAATAACTGAAGTATTAATCAACCTACAGCTGTAAAATTTTATAGGATGAACAGCTAATTCCCATGTCTTACAAATGCTTCATCCTTACTAAAAAAAAAAAAAAAAAAAACACTTTCGGGCATATAGCATATAATGCTCCGCCTAGTGCTTTTTAGCTCACCTGAGCTTGCTCAGGGTGAGCTTTTAGGATCGGTGAATGTCCGTCGTCCGTCGTCCGTCCGGCCGTCCACAATTGCTTGTGAACACTCTAGCGGTCGCATTTTTGCCTCAATCATCATCAAACTTGGTCAGGATGCTTATCTAGTTGAAAGCTCGGATGAGTTCGAACATGGGTCATCTCGGATGAAAAACTAGGTCACAAGAGCTAAAAATAGAAAAACCTTGTGAACACTCTAGAGGTCACATTTTTGACCCAATCATCATCAAACTTGGTCAGGATGTTTGTCTAGGTGATAGCTCGGATGAGTTCGAACATGGGTCATCTCGGATGAAAAAGTAGGTCACAGGAGCTATAAATAGAAAAACCTTGTGAACACTCTAGTGGTCACATTTTTGAACCAATCATCATCAAACTTGGTCAGAATGCTTGTCTAGTCAATTGCTTGGATGAGTTCGAACATGGGTCATCTCTGATGAAAAAACTAGGTCACAGGAGCTAAAAATAGAAAAACCTTGTGAACACTCTAGTGGTCACATTTTTGACCCAATCATCATCAAACTTTGTCAGGATGCTTGTTTAGATAATAGCTCAGATGAGTTCGAATATGGGTCATCTCGGATGAAAAACTAGGTCACCGGAGCTATAAATAGAAAAACCTTGTTAACACTTTAGCGGTCACATTTTTGCATCAATCATCATCAAACTTGATCAAAATGCTTGTCTAGGTGATAGCTCGGATGAGTTCGAACATGGGTCATCTCGGATGAAAAACTAGGTCACAGGAGCTAAAAATAGAAAAACCTTGTTAACACTCTAGTGGTCACAATTTTGACTCAATTGTCATCAAACTTGGTCAGGAAACTTGAATAGGTCATTGCTTGGAATAAATCGAACATGGGACATCTCGGATGAAAAACTAGGTCACATGAGCTAAAAATAGAAAAATCTTGTTAACACTCTAGTGGCTACTGTTGTGATCCAAATATTCTGTTAATTGGTCTGAAAGTTTTTTTTGATGATTTCTAAGTCAAGATCAAACATGGGTCATCTTGGATGAAAAACTAGGTCACACCGCCCAAATATGGAAAAACCTTGTTAACATTCTAGTGGTCACATTTTCGACTCGATTATCATCAAACTTGGTCAGGATGCTTGTCTAGGTAATTGCTTGGATGAGTTCGAAATCGCATGTGAAACTAGGTCACCGGAGCTAAAAATAGAAAAATCTTGTTAACACTCTAGTTGCTACTGTTTTGATCCAAGTATCCTGGAAATTGGTCTGAAAGTTTGTTTTGATGATTTCTAGGTCAAGTTTGAATATGTGTCACCTGGGTAAAAAACTAGGTCGCACTGCTCAAATATGGATAGTCCTTGTTAACACTGTAGTGGTCACATTTTTGACTCACCTGTCATGAGACTTGGTCAGAATGCTTGTCTAGGTAATTGTTTGGATGAGTTTGATAATTCAGGTGAGCGATCTAGGGCCATCATGGCCCTCTTGTTTTGAATGTAGGACAAAACCCCACCAGTTAAAACCCCACCACTCAAAATTTCATAGAGTGGACAAAACCCCACCACTTAATTTCATAGAGTGGACAAAACCCCACCACTTCCGCTTTTTTTTTGATAGATGTATGAATGATTTTATTTACAGGTTACAGAAATGATGAATGTTGATGATAAGAATGTAATATTTTGTCTCGTGGATGCTGCTCTGAAAATAGACCATCCAAATCAAGTGGAAGAATATAGACAACAAGTGAAGACAGAACTTGGAAAAGGTAAAATACAAATTTGCTTTGATATCTCAGTCATGTTTTGTTTGATGAGTTGGCCATAAGGTTTTAGCACAGTGTTCAGAAATGCTTTTAGTATTTAACTGGTGGTTTCAGTGGTATATTGCATTGGATGTGACCTTAAAGGGTATGAATCTATATTTCATGATATAGTTTCAAAAAATTTATCAATAGGAAAAAAAAATATTGTTTCCATTATCTTATTGTAGATTCTTGAAATCGTTCCAACATATTAAGTCTCTGTCATTTAACACAAATATTGTATATAAACATTATAATATGTTTTGGAATAAAATATTAGGCTGCTATTTTAAGTATTGTTTTTAGCACTAAGCAACAATTTTGTGCATGTACCATCCATTCTTCAAACATATTTCTTTCAAACTGGTATTTTTGGAATTTTTCATTGTCAAAAATTAAATACACAGACAGCAGCTATATAGCTATATGCACTTTAATCACGTTTGTGCTATCAGTTTTCACAACTCCCTGTAAATAGTTTAAGACCATTATGTTCGAATTTGGATTTGAAATTTATTACCACAAAAGTTTATAGGAACTCCACTGATGTTCAAAAGCCTGAAAACATCAAAGCTGGGACACTTAAAACAATAAAATATCCAAAGAGATATACTCAGTAAAACATGTATGTTCGTACTATTCTCAGTCGAATTTGAGTAAAAGGCATTGTAACACTTTTAAATTTTGTGTCACTTTTCACAATTAGAACAATTATCCTTGAAAGTCTGATGAGTTAATGATCTGAAATTTTGCACATGAGTTAATAGTCTATACCTACATCAAATTGAACCTTAATTTTGAAAAAATTATTTCCAGCTCCATCCTGTCAAAAAACCTCAGTGGAGTCCCTTCATATAACAGTTTCTCTTAAGGTGCTTTATAATATTTCAAATTATGAAAATGCCATTATTTCTTGACAGCAATGGGAAACAAACAATTAGAGAAAGAGAAAATGAGGAAAATTGTCGCCATTTTGTTTCCTGAGGATATTCAACAAAAACATCAGGTATGTCCTTCAGCATGATATAAACAAAGATTTATTTACAAATATTTTACTGATGGGAAACGAAATTGAACGCTAAATTTGTTTGTAATAGTGTGCATTGTATAATAATAAAAATGAATTTTTTAGCTTTATTTCATTAAAAAAAAAAACTAATGTCAAAAGTAATGTTTGTTTAACCTTTGAATAACTACAAATTCAAAAAGAACTATATACTAAATTGAATTTATTCAAAAATTTGATTTCATTGTAAATTTACCGCCTCCGTGGTCGAGGTGTTAGAGTCAATGACTTCTAATCCAGTTACCTCTGGCGTGGGTTCGATCCCCGGGAGATGCTTTGGTAGTTTAACGCAGAGGAAGCTTTTCTTTTACTAGTGTAACTCTCCAGGAACGATGGTTAGGAAACTACCCGCCTATATGACTGAAATACTGTTGGGAACAGGCGTAAAATGAAACAAACAAACATTGTAAATTTTGATTCAATTAATATGTAATATGATTTACGGTTAATTTTCTTTACAAATAATAATGTTTTGCGCTTTATACACTGGAGAGCTAGAATTTGATAGCAGTGACATTCTATGTTACAACTTTGTCGGGCACCAACTATATAATTATGGAACCAATATAGTTTTACTGTTGATAAATTTTATTAAAATATTTCATAAGATATAGATTTATACCCTTTAAATCTAATAAGTATTTGTAATCATAACAGAGTCAAGTCTCCTGCAATGGTAGGGGGGAAGATCCTGCCAGATAACATGTAGGGTCCAACAAGAACATCGCCAGCACCTGTCACATAACTTTCTGACTCATTGACTGCAGAAAAGTTGTTTTTGTGTCGCCTTGAAAAGGTGACATATAGGGGTTACTTTTGTCGGCGGTGTCGGCGGCGTCTGTGTCGGCGTCGTTGTCGGCGTCGGCGTCCGCTAAAGCTTGTCCGGAGCATAACTCAGTCACTATAAGTCTGATTGACTTCAAACTTGGTATGCATGCTTCTTTCAATAACCCGAAGTGCAGTGCACAATGACCAGTACTCTGCAGTTCTTATTTTTTGAGTTATTGCCCTTTGTTAATTTTCATACTTTAATTTTGTCCGGGCCATTTCTCTTCAACTAAAAAAGCTATGGACTTGAAACTTTATAGGATGATAGATCTCATTAAGAAGAAATGCAGTGCACAAGAACCAGTACTCTGCACTTCTTAATTTTTGAGTTATTGCCCTTTGTTAATTTTCATACTTTATTTTTGTCCGGGCCATTTCTCCTAATGTATAAAAGCCATGGACTTGAAACTTCATAGGATGATAGGTCTCATTAAGAAGAAGTGCAGTGCACAAGAACTGGTACTCTTCATTTCTTATTTTTTGAGTTATTGCCCTTTGTTTATTTTCATACTTAATTTTTGTCCAGGCCATTTCTCTGAAAGTATAAAAATTATGGACTTGAAACTTCATAGGATGATAGATCTCATTAAAAAGAAGTGCAGTGCATAAGAACTGATACTCAGCATTTCTTATTTTTGAGTTATTGCCCTTTGTTGCTTTTCTTACTTTATTTTTGTCCTGGTCATTTTTCCTCAAGTATGAAAGCTATGGACTTGAAACATCATAGAATGATAGATCTTATTGATAAGAAGTGCAGTGTACAGAAACTGCTGCTCTGCACTTATCATTTTTTAGTTATTGCCCTTTGTTATTTTTCATATTTCATTTTTGTCCTGGCCATTTCCCCTAAACTACATTGTTCACAAGGCGACACATCCGACTCGCGGAGTTCTAGTTAAGAAATAGGCACATATTGTCACTATTATGATACAATGTGTGCTGTACAATGACCAGAATCCAAGGTTAAACTTACAGTTCAAATGTGAACAATGTTCAATGTTCACATTTTGTGTCTGCTTTATAAATAATTGGCTATTGAGAAGGTGCTTAAATTTTTTAAGACCATGACACAATTTGCTTACAATTTGTTTAGTGCAACGGCTGGGTTTTCCCCCCAATGTCGGCCAAAAGTTAAAAATCCACATTCATGTCCGCAGAAGCAGAGGCTGTAGCTATCCTTCATACTGCCAAGTTGATTTTTGTTGCACAGTTAAATAAATTACCACCAGAGAGTATCTCTTGTTATAATGTGTAAACAATTCATTTTACAGAGTGCTGTGAATGTAGCATTTTCTCCGACATCTGTACCTGGTAAGATGCATTTGGAGAAAGCTAGTGAGAAGGAAAAACAGAGGAGAGATAGTGCAGATCTAGTTGAAGGTTCAGGTTAGATTATACAACATCCATTATACTTGAATTCTTAAATTGTGTTATGTTGTTGGACTGAATTTTTCAAGAAATGATTGTACTTTTAAGCATGTGATGTACTTTTAAGCATTTGATGCAAAGATAGATCTTGCTTGTGGCAAAAGTAAAATTCATATATATAATTTATATATGAGTAGAAGTTGTGTTTAAATCTTTATTAGGATTACTTTTATGTGTATAGGGAAAAAAAGCAACAGTATCTCTCTGCAAATAATTTGAAGAAACAATCAGTTTATATAAATCACTGTTGTATTCTCTTTCCTGTTTCATAAAATTACAATTTTGTTTCTTTTTTCAGAACGTGACAATCAGGTAGATCACAACTCTTCTGCTCCATCCGTCAGCATACCCCCACCTGCAGTACCGCCACCACCGCCACCACCGCCACCACCACCACCACTACCTAATCAGGTTCTACCTAACAACTTAAAACTTAAAATATTTTCTTTTAGAAAACCGTCAGAGCTAGAGCTTAAATATTTGGCATGAAACATCAGCTAATCAGTGTCTTCCAAGTTTGTTCAAATAAATGCCCTGGGGTCAAAATTGGCCCCGCCCGGGGGGGGGGGGGGGTCATTGATTTTCCTTATTTGTGTATAGTAAAAACTTAAAAAAATCTTCTTTTAAAAAACCCAAAATAGCTAGAGCTTAGCTATTAAGCATGAAACATCTTCTAGTGGGTGTCGATAATATCTGTAAACATATGTCAATGCATATTATTTTTTACATTTCTTTGTATGTGTTGGATATTTTTATACATTATATTATAATATATTTCTAATTTTCCAGTTACAGATTGATGCAGTAAAGTCTCAGCATATTCGCCCTCTGATTGGTCAGCAGAATGCTAGTCTAGCGACCGTCTCAACAGCTTTACCTACAACCGGCAGACCGATTGTTAAAGGTTTGTTTTAATATGTTGACAAAGTTTAATCTTTAACCGGCTAAATTTATGTAATTAAAGTTGCTGTGGTTTGAATTTGGTAACAATCGTTAAAGTGAAAGGGAATTCAGTATCAAAATTTAAAGATTGAGCTACCATAAATAAAGAGCCTTGTCAGACGTGTGGCAAAGGCTTATTATTTTTGGTTCCAGGAAGCAGAGGGTTAAGGAAATATTCAGAATTACTTCATAAGGCCAGTAGTTGTTGATGCTAGGTTTTCAAACAACCCTGAAGACAAAAAATTTTAGGTTATTCTGGCATTTTATGCCACCACAGCATCTGCGATGCGGTGGCATATAGCAATTCACCTGTGTGTTCTATAGATTATATAGTGATTGTGAAAAACCACTAGTCCAATTTCAACCAAACTTGGCAGGATTGATCCTTGGGTGAATGGCTTCCAAAGTTGTTCCAAGAATTTCATTCCATGCAGAAATTTGGTTGCCCTGGCAATCTTCTTGTAAAGACCCAAAAGGCCTAGATCTTAGATATTTTGCATAAGGCATTGTCTGGTAGACCTCTACTAAGATTATTCAAATTATAGCCCTGGGGTCAAAATTGGCCCCGCCCCGGGGATCATTGATTTTCACTATATATTCATATAGTAAGAACTTAAGATACCTTCTCGTCTGAAGGTACAAGGCTTAGAGGTTTGATATTTGGTATGTGATATCTATAGGTACTCTACCAAAGTTGTTCAAATCTTGCCTCTAGTGTCAAAATCAGCCCCGTCCTGGGGGTCATAGGTTGGGTGTCATCGATTCAATCGATATCGGTGTATCAACGATCTTTGTTATCCGATTCGATATCGATTCCATTTTTTAAATATCGGATATCGAATGCACATATAATTTCTAGCTAAAGAGACTTCAGCGAACAGGTTTTATAGAACTGACAGACCTGTTTACCGTCGCAAAACATCGAAATAAAAGCGACATATAAAGTTATGAATGCCAGAAACATTTTTTTCTAAAATGAAAACAGAAATCAATGCCAAAGTTACCTCCCAGTGTCTCTAACGAATGCTGCCTAATTTTGTTGTAATCTCACACGTCTGCTAAGTGAATGTGTAGAAATGCCAAGAAAAATTTGTCAGTGTTTCTTTGTAAAAATTATGATTACAAAATGTTAAACATAAATAATTATTCAGGTTCTACACACTATAATTTGCCAATTAAACCCGGCTTAATTGGAACGGCAAGGACGGGATTTAGCATGATCAGTAACTACGTAATAACAACAACAACAACTAAAGTAAAATGGAAAAGGCTTTAAACTTTATAGTTACTAGTCATTAGTTTTCATTTATAGCTATATGATAAAAAAGAAACAAATTGTTCAGTTTTCATAGTTTATCTTTTTTGCATTTGTCTATATATAACTGCTTTGTCAGTGTCCTTAGGAAACATTTAAAAAGACTTGAAAGCTATAATTTAGCCTGGCAATCGATATATCGCTGTATCGCCGATAATTCATTACCGATATATCAATACAAAAATCCTTATCGATGACACCTCTATATGTTAATAGTAAAAACTTAAAAAAAAATTCTTCTCGCAATTGACAAATGCTGGGGATATTTTAAATGAAACATTGTGTAGTGAACCTCTAGCAAGATTGTTCAAATTTTAGCCCTGGGGTCAAAATTTGCCCCGCTCAGGGTCATTGATTTTGACTATGTACATATAGTGAAAAATAAAAAAATCTTATTGTCTGAAGGTACGAGACTTAGAGCTTTAATATTTGTTATATGATATCATCTATAGGTACTCTACCAAATTTGGTTTACATTTTGCCTCTAGTGTCAAAATTAGCCCCGCCCCGGGGTTCTATGTATATAGTAAAAACTTAAAAAATCGTCTTCTCTAAATTGACAAAGGCTAGAGGTTAGATATTTTGCATGAAACATTGTGTAGTGAACCTCTAGCAAGATAGTACAAATTAAAGCCCTGGGGTCAAAATTGGCCCCATCCCGGGAGGTCATTGATTTTCACTATATGTACATATAGTAAAAAATTTAAAAAGTCTTCCTTTGACAAAGTGTTTTACTGTGTTGTCCTTTGATGTAGTCATGAAATTTAGGCTGTGTGAAATATGACCTTCACCACCAAATTGACTAGACTCAACTGCATTGATATATTCCTACTCTGATCTTTTATTTGAATAACAATAGATTTAACCACTAATCTGATAATAAGAATTAGATAGGTCAGGTATCTATGCATTATGTATAGATACAAAAAAAATCTGTTCCTTCACTACTATTTAGTGTTGTATTAATACGGTGGCATAGCATTTTTCACAAATGCAATCTTGTTTTGCATCACTACTATTCTAGATTTCATGGATTATAAGTGAGGAGGGCAGAATTTGATTATAGGGAAAAGTCATACAGTCAAATGTATATTAAGCGACGGCGCAAGGGAAATGCCCAAAATGGTCGCTTAATGAAACGGTCTCTTAAGACAAAGATGCTTTATGATAAAAACGTCAAAATTTATACATGATATCTTTCTTTTGTGGTGGGAATGTTTTTCAACTTCATTCATATAAATGTTTAACAATTAGAATGCTCTGATAATCTAAATGGATTCTAATATAAAAAATAACTTTCTGAACAGTTTTGATCCGTTGCGTACATGTTTGACATTTTTCAGAATTTTTAAACTTCTCCTTTGTTTTTCATTTTCTCCAACACGAAAACCCTAATAAGTGTATTCTGTTGTGCATTTTACATTTGAAATAAACAGAATACATCTAATTGTAACAATTAATTATGCCCCCACTTCGAAGAAGAGGGGGTATATTGCTTTGCACTTGTCGGTCCGTCCCGTCCGTCGGTCCGTCCGCTCTGTTGGTCCGTAGACCAAATGGTTTCCGAGTGATAACTAAAGAACCCTTAGGCCTAGGAACATCAAACTTGGTATGGTGATTGGTCATGACCAGTAGATGACCCCTATTGATTTTGAGGTCAAGGGGTCAAAGGTCAAGGTCACATTGACCTTGTATGTTAAAACGGTTTCCGATCAATAACTTATGAACGCTTAGGCCTAGGATCTTCAAACTTGATTTGGTGATTGGTCATGACCATTAGATGACCCCTATTGATTTTGAGGTCAAGGGGTCAAAGGTCAAGGTCACATTGACCTTGTATGTTAAAACGGTTTCCGATCAATAACTTATGAACGCTTAGGCCTAGGATCTTCAAACTTGATATGGTGATTGGTCATGACCAGCAGATGACCCCTATTGATTTTGGGGTCAAGGGGTCAAAGGTCAAGGTCACATTGACCTTGTAGGTAAAAACAGTTTCCGATCAATAACTAAAGAACCCTCAGGCCTAGGAACTTCAACATTGGTATGGTGATTGGTCATGACCAGCAGATGACCCCTATTGATTTTGGGGTCAAGGGGTCAAAGGTCAAGGTCACATTGACCTTGTAGGTAAAAACGGTTTCCGATCAATAATTAAAGAATGCTTAGGCCTAGGAACTTCAAACTTGGTAAGATGATTGGTCATGACCAGCAGATGACCCCTATTGATATTGGGGTCAAGGGGTCAAAGGTCAAGGTCACATTGACCTTGTAGGTAAAAACGGTTTCTGATCAATAACTAAAGAACGCTTAGGCGTAGGAATTTCAAACTTGTATTGGTGATTGGTCATGACCAGCATATGACCCCTATTGATTTTGGGTCAAAGGTCAAGGTCACATTGACCTTGTAGGTAAAAATGGTTTTCCGATCAATAACTAAAGAACCCTTAGGCCTAGGAACTTCAAACTTGGTATGATGATTGGTCATGACCAGTAGATGACCCCTATTGATTTTGGGGTCAAGGAGTCAATGTCATAGTGACCTTGTACTTAATGACTGTTTCTGACCAATAACTCATCAACTCAAGTTGCCTTGGTTGATATTTTTATGTGCTTTTGGTATACACATGTGAAGATCTTATGTAATATAACAACTTGGCTGTCATTAATGAGGCCTATGTGATTCATAAAATTTATGTATATATTATTTGGTAAGATTTTTAATAACTTTAATTGCTGCACACAACCTATGGGGTCACAATAATTATTACCTTGTGACTAGTCATGACCAGTAGATACTAGATAACCCTTATTAATTGCTTGTTCACTGGGTCAGAAGTCATGCATAATAACCTGATCACATGACAAATTGGCTGCCGATAGGGGGCATACATGTTTTATAAACATATCTTGTTTAATTGCTGATCAAGTTCAAGGTCAATTCAAAGCATTCTAAATATCAACAGTGAAGCGTATGCACCATCTCAGTAGAGGTGGGGCATTGCATTGTTTTACTGATATAATTGGACAATACAGTTCACGTGTATACTTCACTCCATTTGCATACACTAAAACGGTTTGGGAAATAGAGTTTTTCACACATTTACATGTTGAGTTTTGATTGTTGACGCTTGTGACATTAGGAGGCGGCGTTTTCTTAAAAACACAATTACTTGACAAGTAAAAGTGGTCGTTTGATGAAAAGATTGCTCTCAATTAGGTGACTAATTAGCGGTTGCTGGTCACGTTGAGCAAAAGTCGCTTAATACATTAAAGATATAGAGAAAAAATGATCTGGAGGAATTTAAAGTGGTCGCATAAGACAAAAGTCGCTTAATACACGTGGTCCCATGAGCAAGTTAAACTGTAAATAAAAACAGATTTTAAGAAACATTGCTATGTTAACAGCACTTTGTGTGACTTCAATGCTGCTTCAAGTTGGAGCTTTGCCAGAATAAACATTTAAGCATGCCGTTTGAGAGGCCTGTGAAAGGTTAAGGTCACCAATTCCTAATCACCTGCTCCTCCCAGTTGTGAGCTTGAATCCTGATCAGGACTTTGGATGTAAGGAAGCTATCAAGCTAGCATGCGGAAGGTCATTGGTTCTACTCAGTGACCTGCTTGTGCTGAAATAATACACAGAGTGGCACCTGAGGTCTTCTTTCACCAATAAAGTTGGGAAGTCACCATATGACCTTTAAAGTGACAGTTTGACTTCAAAATCTGAAAAACAAACAAATATTTAATATTGCTTGATCTGTAAAAGTGAAATTTATTTCAAGCTTAAGGCTAATATTATCTTTATTAAAGATTCACAAATTCATACGAAAGTTCAGAGAAGATATTTTCTTTAAATCTCAAATCTTATGCTCTAAAATATCAGGGGGTTTTATTGTTGTTTTTTCTTTTTTTGTTGGTTTAAACATTTTCATTTAAGCTTGATCGCGAAACAAGTTCTTGCAACTTATATTAATCACTTTCGAGTCAGCTTCCTGGAACCAACCAGTACTGGTGTCATATGAAGAAAACATGGTAGTGGCCCAAGTAGGGCTCGAACCCTTTATCTCTGGGTTGAGAGGCAGACACCTTAACCACTAGGCCACCGCTCCCCTTTTTTGTTGATTTTCAGAATTCAATTTCTACCTTTATTTTTTGTACAGTGTGCTTAAATTGATAAATTTGAAACATTGTCTCTTATTTCAAACAGGCAATGTATCAGTGGCACCACCCATGGTCACGCCCAGCTCTAAAGACATGGGTCAGAGACCTATAATAGGAGGCAGTACTCCAGTTGATTCAGCAGTGGACATGGCTAAATATCTGCAGAGACAAAATACAAGGGGTCAGACTTCCACCATTCCAATTCCTGGTAAATATATGTACCTGGTTTTACTATAGATTGATTAAATGCAAACTTCTACATTGTCATGAAATATAACAAGGAACTGTGATCAGATAGTCTCTCAAAGTAGTCTATAAGACTGTAAACATGGTTCGTAGGCTGTGGAGTGTAGTTTATAGGGTCCTAATTATGATTTGTATGATCATATGTCTTTATTAACAATTGTATGAGTCTAAGTGTAGTTTGTAAGATTCAAAGTTAAAGATTTGTAAATTTCAGGGTATAGTTTGTAAGATTCAAGGTGTAAGCTTTAAAGTATGGTTTGTAAAATTCAAGGTATGGTTCGTAAGATTCAAGGTGTAAGATTCAAATTATGTTTTGTAACATTCAAGGTATGGTTTGTTAGATTCAAGGTGTAAGATTCAAAGTATGGTCTGTAAGATTCAAGGTGTAAGCTTTAAAGTATGGTTTGTAAAATTCAAGGTATGGTTGGTAAGATTCAAGGTGTAATATTCATATTATGGTTTGTAATTTTGATGTATTGTTTATAGGATTCAAGGTATGTTTTGTAAGATTCAAAGTGTGGTTTGTATTGTTCAAGGTGTAAGATTCAAGGTATGATTTATAAGATTCAAGGTGTAAAATTCAAGGTATCGTTTTTAAGATTCAAGTTGTAAGATTCAAGATATGGTTTTTAAGATTCAAAGTATTATTTGTAAGATGACTGAGAATACATTTTTATAAAAAGTTAAATACAATCAAGCTTCTTGCAGTCAAATGTCTGGGCATTTTAATATCTGATCCCTTAGCAAATAGCAAATGTAAATGTACAAATTGTAGTCTTTTTATGTTCCCAATAGAGGGAGTGGGGTTATTAAGCCTTTTTAGCTCAACTTTTTTTTTTTTTTTTTTGAAAAAAAAAGTAGAGGTATTGTATAGTTGGGTCGGCGTTGCCGTTGCCGTCCGCAAACTTGTACCTGGATCATAACTTTTTTATTTCTTGGTGTATTGTCTTCATACTTGGCCACAACAACCCTTGGGACAAGACCTTTCAGTAGACCACACTAACCTTGACCTTCGTCCATAAATGACCTTGACGTTCAAGGTTAAAAGTCCAATTTTTGCTTGTTCATGCTGTTATTGGCTGTAACTTTGTTATGCCCCCACTTCGAAGAAGATGGGGTATATTGCTTTGCACTTGTCGGTCCGTTCCGAGTGATAACTAAAGAACCCTTAGGCCTAGGAACTTCAAACTTGGTTTGGTGATTGGTCATGACCAGTAGATGACCCCGATTGATTTTGGGGTCATTGGGTAAAAGGTCAAGGTCACATTGACCTTGTAAGCAAAAACTGTTTCCGATCAATAACTAAAGAACCCTTAGGCCTAGGAACTTCAAACTTGGTATGGTGATTGGTCATGATCAGTAGATGACCCCTATTGATTTTGGGGTCAAGGGGTCAAAGGTCAAGGTCACATTGACCTCTTAGGTAAAAATGGTTTCCGATCAATAACTAAAGAATGTTTAGGCCTAGAAACTTCAAACTTGGTATGGTGATTGGTCATGACCAGCAGATGACCCCTATTGATTTTGGGATCAAGGGGTCAAAGGTCAAGGTCACATTGACCTTGTAAGTAAAAACGGTTTCTGATCAATAACTAAAGAACCCTTAGGCCTAGAAACTTCAAACTTGGCATGGTGATTGGTCATGACCAGCAGATGACCCCTATTGATTTTGGGGTCAAGGGGTCAAAGGTCAAGGTCACATTGACCTTGTAGTTAAAAACGTTTCCGATCAATAACTAAAGAAGGCTTAGGCCTAGAAACTTCAAACTTGGTATGGTGATTGGTCATGGCCAGCAGATGATCCCTATTGATTTTAGGGTCAAGGGGTCCAAGGTCAAGGTGACATTGACCTTGTAGGTAAAAATGGTTTCCGATCAATAACTAAAGAATGCTTAGGCCTAGGAACTTCAAACTTGGTATGATGATTGGTCATGACCAGCAGTTGACTCCTATTGGTTTTTGGGGTCAAGGTGTCAAAGGTCAAGGTCACATTGACCTTGTAGGTAAAAACGGTTTCCAATCAATAACTAAAGAACGCTTAGGCCTAGACACTTCAAACTTGGTATGATGACTGGTCATGACCAGTAGATGACCCCTATTGATTTTGGGGTCAAGGGGTCAATGTCATATTGACCTTGTACTTAATGACGGTTTCTGACCAATAACTCAACAACTCAAGTTGCCTTGGTTGATATTTTTATATTAAACTAAAAATGCTTTTGGTATACACATTTGAAGGTCTTATGTAATATTACAACTTGGCTGTCATTAATGAGGCCTACATGATTCATAAAATTTATGCATATATTATTCGGTAAGATTTGTAATAACTTAAATTGCTTTACACAACCTATGGGGTCACAATTATTATTATCTTGTGACTAGTCATGACCAGTAGATACTAGATAACTGATAACCCTTATTAATTGTTTGTTCACTGGGTCAGAAGTCCTGCATAATAACCTGATCACATGACTAATTGGCTGCCGATAGGGGGCATACATGTTTTACAAACATATCTTGTTATTTTTAAATGGATTGTCTTCAAACTTGAACATAATAATCTTCAAGGATATCCCTTAAAAATAACCAGCCAGACCTTGACCTTCACTCATAAATGACCTTGACTTTGAAGGTCAAATTATTGAAATTTTAATTTTTTTGGCTATTATTGGCTGTAACTTTGTTATTTTTGAATGGATTGTCTTCAAACTTGAACATATTAATCTTCAAGGATAACTCTTAAAAATAACCTGACAGACCTTGACCTTCACTCATTAATGGCATTGTCTTTGAAGGTCAAATTATTGAAATTTTCATTGTTTTGGCTGTAACTGACTGTAACTTTGCTATTATTGAAGGGATCAACTTCATATTATAACAGAACATACTTAAGGACAAGACCTTGTTGTGACTTCACCATGTGACTTTACCATGTGACTCCACCACGTTACACAATACATGACACCACCACGTGACTCCCACCACGTGACTTTGAATGCACCCAAGACTCCACCACGTGACTCTACCATGTGACTTTACCACGTGACTCTACCACGTGACTCCACCACGTGACTCCACCATGTGACTCCACCACGTGACTCTACCACGTGACTCCACCACATGACTCTACCACGTGACACCACCATGTGACTTTACCAAGTGATTCCACCACGTGTATCTATTTATAGAATTTTCTATTTATAGAATTGCGTGTTTCTATTTATAGAATTGCATGTTTCTATTTATAGAATTTTCTATTTATAGATTTGCGTGTTTCTATTTATACATGTATATATATAATTTAGTATATTTATATATATATATGCAAAATATATAGACAAAACTTATGTGACAGACCGATTAATTTTATAAAAAGGAAATGTTAAGATTTTGTTCAAACATTTCTTTGTTTGCTTTTAGAGAAAGTAAAAAGTCGAGGGTTGCCCCCGCCCGGCGGTGGCTCTTGTTTTAATTAGATACATCATTTGACATTTTTTATGGACTCGATCACTAAATTATTAGCATATCTTTGAAATAAAATCAGTTTTGTAATGGCTTGTGAGAATTTCTTGCTAGTGTTACAGGGTCTGTTTAATTTGATTTGTATTTTTTTACAGGTAGTAGAATGCCTACAGCCACAAGCCCTGGAGTTGACCTTCAGCCACCAGAACAGGGAACCAGTCCTGTTTACAGTCATCAGATGGTACCTGGCACGAGTAGAAGAGGTATATACCTAAATGTTTTAATTTTTGTTGATAAATAAGTAAATTTATAGAAAATTGTAAACTCTTATCCTACTGATTTTATGTTATAGAGTTTCCCTGCTTATGTATTTAGCCCTTTGTCTCTTAGCAACAACAGGTTCTACCCATGAGGTCAGTGCAGACCAAGGTCAGCTGGCACGCCCGCATGCTTTCTGATCATAGTCCCCCATGCTTTCTGATCATTGTCCCCCATGCTTTCTGATCATTGTCCCCCATGCTTTCTGATCATTGTCCCCCATGCTTTTCTGATCCATTTTCCCCTATGCTTTCATATCATTGTCCCCCATGCTTTATGATCATTGTCCCCCATGCTTTCTGATCATTGTCCCCCATGCTTTCTGATCATTTTCCCCTATGCTTTCTGATCATTGTCCCCCATGCTTTCTGATCATTGTCCCCCATGCTTTTTGATCATTGTCCCCCATGCTTTCTGATCATTTTCCCCTATGCTTTCTGATCATTGTCCCCCATGCTTTCTGATCATTTTCCCCTATGCTTTCTGATCATTGTCCCCCATGCTTTCTGATCATTGTCGGCACAGTTCGCTGTTCCGTCAGTAAATATTTTGAAAATATCCCTAAAAATGATGGATGATTTTGTGTTAAGATTAAAAAATGGACAAGTCTATTTCAGATGTGTTTTCTGGTTAAACTGGAAATTATTACTAAATCATGCTGTCTTTAAATAAGTAATTCCTTTGTCTCAATGTATTGCATTTCTTTCTAATGCAAGAAATTTAGCAATAATTAAAAGTTACAGAAGTTGTCTGTGTAAATTTTGCTTTATTTTTGGCTTTTTGTTTATAAATTGGCCAGAAATAAGCAATTTCAGTTTCAAAGCTTGGAAAAAATACTCTTTCTCCCATTACTTGTAGATATCACTTCAGAATATCATAAAAAGGGCACTACAGGCATTGTACTGTATATTATATCAATTAAATTAAATTGAAGGAAAATTTTATTTTAGAGAAGATACTCTCATGATACACTGGTAGAATATATTATAACTTGAAAAGATTTTTTTAATAGGTGGGTGATATGGCCCTATATAAATGGTTGTTTGGAAATACCTTATATTGCAAACAACTGTTTATGTACGGCCATATAACTTGTCTGAAATCTTTATAATGAATTTATAATACAGCAAACTTCCTTTTTTAGAGAAAAAGTGAGATTTTTTTCATAAATTGATAACAGCAGTGTATATAAAATTATATAAACATTATGATTATCCAATGAAAAGCAATGTAACAAAGGTGCAGTATTATTAGAATTGATTATAATGATTGCATTTATTTCAGGTTACAATGTCAATGGCACAGCCTGTTGCCCACTAGCCCAGCAAGTATGTATTCAGTTAATGTGTTCCCCCATTTCCCTTCCCATGCTCTAAAGTCTCAAATGAGCAAAGACATTTGATTTGACTCCTTCAATGCTTTTTAGCTCATCTGTCACACAGTGACATGATCACTTTTCGTCCGGTGTCTGTCAGTCTGTCCCAAATTCGTTATTCTATTCACAGAAATGATCAACATATTGAGACAACGTGTCACGTGCAAGCTGGTAGATAGATTTCATTGAGTAGAAGTGCAGTGCAATAACAGTAACTCTGCCTTGCCTAAGTTTGGAATTACTTTGTCTGGGACATAACTCTGAAACTTCTAAAGATATACTTTTCTGTGTCCAAAACCTAGTCAGGGAGCATCAACCAGTTCAACCAGCTCTGTGAAATAGTTGTAAAATCCAACTTCAAATAACGAAGTTATGGGCTGGACATTTTTCTCTTTTTATCCCCAGCCGATGGAATCGGGAGGGGGATATTGTTTTGGCGTTGTCCTTCTGTCCCAATTTCGTTTCCGTGCTAGTTCTCTGCAACTACTGGCTGGAATTCAACGAAACTTTATGGGAATCATCAATATTAAGAGGAGATGTGCATATCATTGCCTTGTCCTGCATATCATTGCCTTGTTCCGGTCAGACACTTTAACTCAGAGTTATGGCCCTTGATTAGTTATGCAGTATGCATATAGAGCAATAATTGTTTCTGCGCTACTTCTCTGCTACTACTGGCTGGGATTCAACAAAACTTTATGGTAACTTTCAATACCAAGAGGAGATGTGCATATTGTCGGTCAGACACTTTTAAGTTTAACTCAGAGTTATGACCCTTGATTAATTATGCAGTATGCATATAGAGCAATAATCTTTTCATCGCTACTTCTCTGCAAACTAGTGGCTGGAATTCAACGAAATTTTAATGGGAATCATCAATATTAAGAGTTGATGCGCATATCGTCGGCTTGTTCCCGTCAGACACTTTAACTCGGAGTTATGGCCCTAGGTTAGTTATGCAGTATGCATATAAGGCAAACTTTATGGAACCTTCAATACCAAGAGGAGATGCACATATCATCGCCTTGTTCCGGTCAGACACTTAACTCAGAGTTATTGCCCTTGATTAGTTAAGCAGTATGCATATAGAGCAATAATGGTTTCCACGCTATATCTCTGCAACTACTGGCTGGAAATCAATTATACTTTATGGGAACCATTAATACCAAGATGAAATGTGCATAATTTGTTGCCTTGTTCAGACCAGACCCTTCATTACAGAGTAATGGCCCTTGATTAGTTATGTAGTATGCATATGCAATATTGCCATTTCTTTGCAACTGCTGTATTGATTTCAACAAAATTTTATGGGAACCATAGATACAAAAAGGCAATTTACATGTCATTGGCATGTCCAGATATTACTATTTTACACAGAATTATGGCTCTGATGCCCTGAATATTTATTATGTACAAAGAATATAACTGTTTACCCCATGATAAATATATAAATAAAGTGTTATGTCTTCAGTTGTTGTGTTAGTAATATCCAGTACTCGGCGGGGGATATAAATTCAATGAATTTGCTTGTTTGACATTACAAGTGGAGAGACTTTCTCTTAAATTTTGTATATTGACTGAATTTAGTAGTCCGGCAAGACACCGGTGAAAATAGGGAAAATATGTTTCACTGCAGTGAAAACTAAATTTTTAGCTCGACTATTCGATAGGAATAAGTAGAGCTATTGCAGTCACCCGAGCATCGGCGTCGGCGTAACCACTTAAGTTTTTGTAATAGTTCAAATATTTTCAAAGTCCATAGACATATGGCTTTGAAACTTTGCACACTTGTTCACCATCATGACCCCAACCTGTAGACAGGAGGAGGTAACACTATCAAGCATTTTGACAGAATTATGCCCCTTTTTCGACTTAGAATTTACGTTGTAAAGTTTTTGTAATAGTTCAAATATTTTTTTCAAATTCCATTGACATATGGCTTTGAAACTTTGCACACTTGTTCACCATCATGACCCCAACCTGTAACAGGAGGAAGTAACTCTATCAAGCATTTTGACAGAATTTATGCCCCTTTTCGACTTAGAATTACGTTAAAGTTTTTTGTAATAGTTCAAATATTTTCAAAGTCCATTGACATATGGCTTTGAAACTTTGCACCCACTTGTTCACCATCATGACCCCAACCTGTAACAGGTTGAGGTAACTCTATCAAGCCATTTTGACAGAATTATGCCCCTTTTTCGACTTAGAATTTTACGTTAAAGTTTTTGTAATAGTTCAAATATTTTCAAATCCATTGACATATGGCTTTTGAAAACTTTGCACACTTGTTCACCATCATGATCCCAACCTGTAAACAGGAGGAGGTAAATGTATCAAGCATTTTTTTTACTATCAAGCACTAAGAATAGTCGAGCGTTGCTGTCCTACCGACAGCTCTTGTGTATAGTGGAAATATAAATATATAAAAATGATATATTTCCTATACAGGATATTGAGTTAGATTCAGCAGACGCAATGGGAGACTTTAATGTTGCTGATAATAAATTTCAGAGTAATCACCATGACTACATGGATCACCAAGGAGACAATCATGACCTTGACCTTGAGTGAACAGCCAATCAGGTGACAGATGAGTACTTGGAAATGGTTAGAATGACCTTGGGGATTGACATTCATTAAAAATCGGAAAAAAGAGGGTGAAACAAACATTGTGAGGGATGATGTTATTTTGTATTTGTTTTTTTGTTTTTGTGTTTTGTTTCTAAGAACTTTCCTTTTGAAAGTGTTTTTTGTTGTCTTTAACAAATGAGCTTTTAAGATATGTTTGTTACATTTGATTATTTTTTCATTACATTGAACTGTACTAGTATAGTATTAATGATTTGATTTGATGGGATTGTTTTTTATTTGTGAAGTTAAAATATTGACATTATTTATACAGTGATTACTAAAAGAGGTTAGTGTTTTATTAGGCATTATTTTGTAGACATGAATTTATTTGAAAAAATATAGAATGCCTTTTTAATATCCCTTTCAAATTGGAGCTTGTTGTAAATAGAGGTCATTTCATATTTTGAGACATTTTAAATTTTAGAAAATAAAGTAACCTTTCATATAAGTCCTGTGTTCAGACTTTTTTCCTTGCAATATAAATTACCGGTATTGTTTTAGAACTTGTTAAAGATATTTTATAATTGTATGTACTGTAGCGCCCCTGTCTATCGTGTGTATGACTTCTCTCTCGACTATCACCTGTTTTACTCTCCTAACCAAGTTTTTCTCAGATTTTTATAGTCAGGTTGTTTTAATGGGTACTTTTTACTTCAATGTGCAAGGGTACTACATCAGCAATTATTCAAATAAATTGCTAAAGTTAATCGGTATTAACGTAAATAAATAATTAAACAGTTTACTGGTAGCGTAAACAACAAGCCTGGTAGCGGCCAATTAAATATTACACATGGAAAACTAAACTAAATTCAGGACAAAGCCATTCCTTTCGGTTTAAATTATGATTTTTTTTGTAAACGGCCTTAACAAATAACTATGGCTGGGGATTCAGACCAAATGCATGAATCAATAAATACTGTAATGATTTCAGCATAAATAAATGTCATAAATGTGAAAAACTATAATAGCTCGAGGTCAGATCGATTATCTATAACTAAAAGTACCGTCAAATATACGAAATACCGAAATATGTGCCCAAAAGACTAACTCAGAATTTTGACAGTTTGTAAACAAAATCGTTACCGATACTGAACTTCCGGTAACAAGTTTAAAATTAATCTATTACAAGATATCTTTTTCAAGATAAAATTTAGTAATGAATGAAACTTTTATCAGAATTTACGAAAGAATTGGATGAGACAAAATTTGTACGTCTACTCTACTGTAAGGACAGAGGCAAAAGTGATTTTTTTGGTATTCGAACGCTGGTATCAGCTTTGGGTATGCAAATGAGTACCAACATGTTTTGGTATGCAAATTAGGTGGTTCGAGGTTACAATAGAAAATAAATATGTCATAATATTTCATTATAAGAACAAATATACAATTTAAATCAATAATAATACATAACATTTAATCTATTAATCAACTTTGCCTCCGAAATCATTTACATGAATCTGACCTCGAATTGAGATTATAAATAGAACTAAACCGGAAACCGGAAGTATGACAAAATGGCGGACATGGACTAGGAAATTGAGAAATTTTATAACATAAACTCGTATTTCATAACAAAGAAGTGAAGATGAATAAAAATTAACGATGAGCTTAGTAGAAACAGGTATTTTTCTAACAATTTGTGAAGTATTAAGGCATGACAATATGTATTTACGTAAATATCATCTCTCGTGTTATGATTTCTTAAATTATACATGTACACATGTGATATTGACCTCAATAAATGTAAGTAAAAATGGAACAATAATTATGGTAATTATCCATGGTGCTAGTAATACTTAATTACCTTTATCATTTTGTTAACTAAGTAAGAAGCTTATGTAATTTAAAAAATTACCTAACCTCACATTACCCTCTCTCCTGAACAAATTTCGTCCTCGAAATTGAAAGCACCATGTTAATTAAACTTTAACAACAATTAAAATTTTATACTTAAAAGTTTTTAACAATAAATTTAACAATAATAACAGGTATCGGATATAACAGTAAAACATATCTGCTATTCCATGCAACTTGGAATAGTTTACTCATACATTCATACTCTTACATTATGTCAATTAAGTTACATACAATTACATGTAGGCTGAACAGTCATACATAATACTATTATGCAATAAAAATGTTTAAACACTTTTGTTTAAACACAATTTTTGTTAACGATACATTAGTAATGTGCTATCACATTCCAGAGACATTGTGGTAATTGAAATTTGAACATTTTAACTTTAATGCACTTAATTTTAGGGCATTATACATATAGCATAATATAGCATTTAATGGTTGGGGACCACCAAAACCGGACAACCACCAAACCCGGACGGCCCCGAAAATGCTTGATTTAGAATTTTCTTTGTTCAGTGGTTGTCAGTCACTTTTTTATCAACAATAAATGCATGTTTCTTTTTAGAATTAAGTAAAATAAGTTTATTTCAACTCCGTAAATGGTTATATTTATGTCTATTTCAAAGAATGTTGACATTGAAATTTGGGGGTCAAGAAAGCAATGCCTGACCTCATATAACAGCAATAATTATTAGCAGAGTAAACAATAAAATATCCAAAACTTCAGCATTTTGCTGCTGAAAATATTGTGTGTCATGTTAAAAATAAAAAAAAGAACACCAAAGCTTTTATCGAATTAAATCAACGTTATTAATATCTGTCCGTGACACATGGTACTGTAGTATTGTACAATTTATGTAATTTTTGATACCCTCCTTGATGTGCCTCAGATATAAGTGTCAACATTATCAGAACTAAATAAACTAGTTTGTTAGTTAGGAAAAGAACCTAGCTGTACTGTGTCAAATTTTCGTACCTCTAGCTTTAAAATTATGAAATTTGTATAGAAAAATGATCAAAAAGTGTCCGGTTGATGGTCCCTGACCAGTATGCAACAACAATTTAATATCTATAAAAGTTCTTGTTTAATTGAATTGTTTGTTAACAATACTTCTATTTTGGATATCATACCATAAACAAACAACATTTTGAAGATTACATGTACATTTAAAACAAATAGTTAATGAAGACTGAAAATTTAATAGTGATTCATTTTACTAGTAATGCATTACTTATGTAATTGAAATGACTTACAACTACTTTAAAGACAAGAAGAATATGGAAGGACATTAGGACTTAAAAGAAAACAACAACTTGAGGCAAATTGTTTTTGAAAAGACATCCAACAATTGACTTATTATTTTTTTTAATATATTCGCATACATAAGAAAAACAACCAGGTCATTCAATAACTGATAACTACTTTACATGTAAAAAAAATTTTAACAACAAATATTGTGACAAGTTACCATACATGACTAGTGAATTGACTAGAATTATTACTAACATAAAAAAAAAATTGTTTAATTTACAAACAATTTCAAGTATAATTCAAATAGTATGACAATAAATGATATTGTTTTATATATGTATTTGGACGGAATTAAATTGCATTGAATAACATATTTTACTCGGACGGACACAACCCTGTATATTTTAATTTAAGACAAATGTAGACATGACTATGACTGACTAGAAGTAAAAAAAAAATAAAAAATTTACAAATACTTAATTTATTACTATGATGTGAAATAGTACTTAGACAAAAATTTATAGATGATAATGAAGATGGAGATGGAAGGACACTACCATGAAGACCTAATAATTTACAAAAACAAATAATACATTAAATACTTAATACCTTAACAATATTTTATTGAGTTTGTTTATCTTGTTTAAAAAAAAAATACCAAATTTATTTTGTCTGTGTCTGTGTTCCTCTGCATATCTTGAGGCCGTCATCTAAGGTACAGGTGGTCTTCTTTTCGCCTAGGTGTCCGGTAGTTTTATGGTCATGTACGTATTTAAGTACTGTATACTAGCAATTTTTGGCACAATAATTTGAAATTGCTCCTCCCCCAATTTATTGGTATGTGTTCTGTACACCACATCATCATAAAGTATTAAACTTGGCCATTGAGACCAATAAGCTTTATATTCTTTACCTAAATATGAAAATGTCATTGGCTGTAGGTCTGTTATTTTGTGATAAATTATCTTGAATCTTTCCAATTTCAGGGTCAGCTAGCTGGGTTGCTTTCCAATCAACTTCTAAGAAGTTATCTTGCAGACTAACAGAATTCCTCAGGGGGTCAGAGGTCCTATTGGAATTCTCGCCCTCTCTTTCTATTGCATTTACTAACAGACCACCTTCCAGGGCCCTTGTCAGGAAGTCTGTATCTTCATTGCTATTACTTTTGCTGTTTTCTTCACACTTGGTCATTTCTTTATCATTCAATTTTACTTCTCGAATGGATGTAGTAACAGACCCAACACGTGAACCAAGACATTGATCTGACTCAGATTCATCTTTGTCATTAGTTTCAAGTTTGTTGCAGTATTTACAATCTCCACAAGGTTTTCTTGATAATGCATCTGCATTTCTATGGCGAACACCACTTCTGTGTTCTACATCAAAATCATATAAACTAAGGGTATTTATCCATCTACTCAATTGTCCCATAGGGGTTTGAAATTTCAAAGCCCATGATAATGCTGAATGATCGGTTCTAATTAAAAAATGAACCCCATATAAATAATTGTGAAAATGCTTCACTGATTCAACTATTGCTAATAGTTCTTTACGTGTTACACAGTATTGTCTCTCAGGATGGTTTAAAGTACGACTGTAATAGGCTATGACACGTATAGTGTCACCTTGTTTTTGTTGTAGCACACTTCCGAGGCAATATGAGCTACAGTCAGTATCTAATATGTATAAGTCATGGGAATTAGGATAACCTAATATTGGTACTTCTGATTTTTGTTTTAACTTGTTGAATGCTGTCTGGCATTCTTCACTCCAAATGAACTTTGCATTTTTATGTGTAAGTTGATGTAAAGGATGAGCTATTTTAGCAAATCCTTCTATTGAACGTCTGTAATAGGAAACAAGACCCAAAAATGAAGATAATTGCTTTGAGTTCTTTGGTATAGGCCAATCTTTTACTACCTTGACCTTTTCATCATTTGGAACAACACCATTTTGGCTAACAATATGGCCTAGAAAATGTAATTGAACTTGAAATAGATGAACTTTCTTTGGCATTACTTTAAGATTTGCTGTTTCTAATCTTCTGAGAACCTCTTCTAACTGGGCTAAATGTGTTTCAAAGTCGGTGGTGAATATTAATATGTCATCAACATATATAAGTACTGTTTGATATTGTAGACCAGACATAATATATTCCATAAGTCTTTGGAAAGTAGCTACAGCATTGGTAAGTCCAAAACTGAGAACTTTGAAGCGATATTGTCCTTTTTGGCATACAAAACTGGTTTTATCCATGTCATTAGGTTCCATTTGAACTTGATGAAAACCTGAAGAACAATCTAAAGAACTGTAAAATTTGGCTCCTTTTAGGCAGTCTAGACAATCTTGAATTCTGGGTAAGGGATAACTGTCTTTTAATGTAACTGCATTTAGTTTGCGATAATCTATGGCCAA